TTGCTGATCAAAAGGTTGTGGTTCGAATACCCGCAACGGGTGAGCTCCCGTTGCTCGGTCCCTGCTCCTGCCAACCTAGCAGTTCGAAAGCACGTCAAAGTGCAAGTAGATCAATAGGTACCGCTCTGGCGGGAAGGTAAACGGCGTTTCCATGCGCTGCTCTGGTTTCGCCAGAAGTGGCTTAGTCATGCTGGCCACATGACCCGGAAAAACTGTCTGTGGACAAATGTCGGCTCCCTTGGCCAGTAAAGTGAGATGAGCGCTGCAACCCCAGAGTTGTTCGTGACTGGAATTAACTGTCAGGGGTCCTTCACCTTTTTATTTTCATTGGAGAAATGTTGGAGGGTATGGAATAGGACATCCCTAGGGGTTTTTTCCCCAGCCAGAACTCAGTTCTGGCACCTGTCAAGTGGGTGCCATTGCTATCCCAAGAAAATAAAGGATGTGTTTATGGTGAGTTCCAGCACCTTTTTTTCGGGAAAAATAGCACTGGACGTCCTTGTTTTCATCAGAGACCCGTTGGAGGGAATGGAATAGGATGTCCCTATTTTAAACTGAGAAATGTTGGAGGGTATGCTCTGGAGTTCTCTCACATGGCATAAGTTCTCACAAGTTCTCTCCACTGCCTTTTGAGTTGGATCATTAACACATCACTCGTGTTCTGTGTTATAAGTCAAGCAGTGCTAGGGGCACAAGATGTTGGACATAATATTATGTTTGCTGACTGGGAACAGTTATGGACCACAGGTATGAAGTTTACGGCATGTAATGCCTTAAGAGAGAATATTATGAAAATGATATACAGGTGGTACATGACCCCAGTCAAGCTTGCAAAAATTTATCATTTGCCCGATAATAAATGCTGGAAATGTAAAGAAACTGAAGGTACATTCTTTCACCTTTGGTGGACGTGCCCAAAGATTAAGGCTTTCTGGGAAATGATATATAATGAACTGAAAAAGGTATTTAAATATACCTTCTTGAAGAAACCAGAGGCCTTTCTCCTGGGCATGGTCGGCCAATTGGTGCCAAAGAAGGACAGAACTTTTTTTATGTATGCTACAACAGCAGCAAGAATACTTATTGCAAAGTATTGGAAGACACAAGATCTACCCACACTGGAGGAATGGCAGATGAAAATGATGGACTACATGGAATTGGCAGAAATGACTGGCAGAATCCGAGACCAGGGAGAAGAGTTGGTGAAAGAAGACTGGAAGAAATTTAAAGATTATTTACAGAAATATTGTAAAATTAATGAATCTTAGAAGGATGTTGGATAGAAACTAAGTGGTTTCCAGCTGTAATGCTTTAAGAGATACAAAAAAAGGTTCACAAATGGGTAAAAGCTTAATGGTAAGGATTTGCTGAACTAACAAACTGAACTGGAATACAAAAAAGGGAGGTACGAGGAGGTCCGGGGAAATAAGTGTATGGAAGATATGCTATGGAAAATTAATGTGTTTTTAACTGTTTTTATTTTGTATGTTTCTTTGTTATACCTTAATAAGGGTTTTGTTATTCTTTTTTCTGTATTTTGTATTTTCTTGTATTTTTATTTTTTGTTTTTGTGTAATTCTTGTACTCTTTGAAATTTTAATAAATATCATTAAAAAAAAAATCAAGCAGTGCTAGGAGTTGTTTATTTCTGTTTTCCAATGTATTTCATATAAATAAATCAGAATCTGTGTGGCACGAGAATTTTTTTATTCTGCAAGTGTGGCCCAGAGAACAAAAGTTTGAGGACCACTGTGTATGAGAAGAGCCTATTTAATAAGAATAAGAATAAGAATTTTATTTATACCCTGCCCACCTGGCTGGGTTTCCCCAGCCACACCAGGCGGCTCCCAGCATAATATTAAAAACACGATAAAACATCAAACATTTAAAATTTCCCTAAACAGGGCTGCCTTCAGATATCTTGTAAAAGTCAGATAGTTGTTTATTTCCTTGACATCTGAATCATAGAAGAATGATAGAATCATAGAGTTGGAATAGACCACAAGGGCCATCGAGTCCAACCCCCTGCCAAGCAGGAAACACCATCAGAGCACTCCTGACATATGGTTGTCAAGCCTCTGCTTAAAGACCTCCAAAGAAGGAGACTCCACCACACTCCTTGGCAGCAAATTCCACTGTCGAACAGCTCTTACTGTCAGGAAGTTCTTCCTAATGTTTAGGTGGAATCTTCTTTCTTGTAGTTTGGATCCACTGCTCCGTGTCCGCTTCTCTGGAGCAGCAGAAAACAACCTTTCTCCCTCCTCTATGTGACATCCTTTTATATATTTGAACATGGCTATCATATCACCCCTTAACCTCCTCTTCTCCAGGCTAAACATGCCCAGCTCTCTTAGCCGTTCCTCATAAGGCATCGTTTCCAGGCCTTTGACCATGTTGGTTGCCCTCCTCTGGACACGTTCCAGTTTGTCAGTGTCCTTCTTGAACTGTGGTGCCCAGAACTGGACACAGTACTCCAGGTGAGGTCTGACCAGAGCAGAATACAGTGGCACTATTACTTCCCTTGATCTAGATGCTATACTCCTGTTGATGCAGCCCAGAATTGCATTGGCTTTTTAGCTGCCAGCGTCACACTGTTGGCTCATGTCAAGTTTGTGGTCAACCAAGACTCCTAGATCCTTTTCACATGTACTGCTCTCAAGCCAGGTGTCACCCATCTTGTATTTGTGCCTCTCATTTTTTTTGCCCAAGTGCAATACTTTACATTTCTCCCTGTTAAAATTCATCTTGTTTGTTTTGGCCCAGTTCTCTAATCTGTCAAGGTCGTTTTGAAGTGTGATCCTGTCCTCTGGGGTGTTAGCCACCCCTCCCAGTTTGGTGTCATCTGCAAATTTGATCAGGATGCCCTTGAGTCCATCATCCAAGTCGTTGATAAAGATGTTGAATAAGACTGGGCCCAAGACAGAACCCTGTGGCACCCCACTAGTCACTCTTCTCCAGGATGAAGAGGAACCATTGATGAGCACCCTTTGGGTTTGGTCAGTCAGCCAGTTACAAATCCACTGAGTGGTAGCATAGTTAAGACCGCATTTTACCAGCTTCTTTACAAGAATATCATGGGGCACCTTGTCAAATGCCTTGCTGAAATCAAGGTAGGCTACATCCACTGCGTTCCCTTCATCTACCAGGCTTGTAATTCTGTCAAAAAACGAGATCAGGTTAGTCTGATATGACTTATTTTTCAGAAATCCATGCTGACTATTGGTGATCACAGCATTCCTTTCTGGGTGCTCACAGACTGTTTGCTTAATGATCTGCTCCAGAATCTTCCCTGGTATTGATGTCAGACTGACTGGGCAGTAATTATTTGGGTCCTCTCTTTTCCCCTTTTTGAAAATAGGGACAACATTTGCCCTCCTCCAGTCTGCCGGGACTTCGCCTGTTCTCCAGGAATTCTCAAAGATGACTGCCAGTGGTTCTGAGATCACATCTGCCAGTTCTTTTAATACTCTTGGATGCAGTTCATCTGGCCCTGGAGACTTGAATACATCTAAACTAGCCAAGTATTCTTGTACTATCTCCTTAGTTATTCTGGGCTGTGTTTCCTCTGCTGAATCATTTGCTCCAAATTCTTCAAGTCGGGCATTATTTTCTTTATCGGAGAAGACTGAGGCAAAGAAGGCATTGAGGAGTTCAGCCCTTTCTGTGTCCTCTGTTTGCATTTCACCATCTTCTCCTCTGAGTGACCCCACTGTTTCTTTGTTCTTCCTTTTGCTACGAACATACCCATAAAAGCCTTTTTTGTTGTTTTTAACCTCTCTAGCAAGCCTGAGTTCAATCTGTGCTTTAGCTTTTCTGACTTTGTGTCTACACGTGATGGCTATTTGTTTGAATTTCTCTTGGTGGTTTCCCCCCTTTTCCATTTTTTGTACACATCCTTTTTTAATCTTAACTCAGTTAAAAGTTCTTTAGATAGCCACCCTGGCTTCTTTAGGCACCTTCCATGTTTCCGTCTCATTGGTATTGCCTGAAGTTGTGCTTTTACTATCTCCCTCTTAACAAACTCCCAGCCTTCATGGACTCCCTTTCCTTTTAGTATTACTGTCCATGGGATCTCTGGTGGGAGGACGTTCTACAGGGCAGGTGCCACTACCGAGAAGGCCCTCTGCCTGATTCCCTGTAACTTCGCTTCTCGCAGTGAGAGAACCGCCAGAAGGCCCTCAGAACTGGACCTCAGTTTCCAGGCTGAATGATGGGGGTGGAGACGCTCCTTCAGGTATACTGGGCCGTGGCCATTTAGGGCTTTAAAGGTCAACACCAACACTTTGAATTGTGCTCAGAAATGTACTGGGAGCCAATATAGGTCTTTCAGGACTGGTGTTATGTGGTCTCGGTGGCCGCTCCCAGTCACCAGTCTAGCTGCTGCATTCTGGATTAATTGCAGTTTCCGGGTCACCTTCAAAGGTAGCCCCATGTAGAGCGCATTGCAGTAGTCCAAGCGAGAGATAACCAGAGCATGCACCATTCTGGCGAGACAGTCTGTGGGCAGGGAGGGTCTCAGCCTGCATACCAGATGGAGCTGGTAAACAGCTGCCCTGGACACAGAATTGACCTGTGCCTCCATGGACAGCTGCGAGTCCAGAATGACTCCCAGGCTGCGCACCTGGTCCTTCAGGGGCACAGTTACCCCATTCCGGACCAGGGAGTCCCCCAGACCTGCCCACCTCCTGTCCCCCAGCTGACTGCAACATCACTCCCCACCTGTGAAGATGCCCAGCGACTTGTTTGCAGAAGCACACTTCCTCTGACGGTGGAGATAGAAATTGAATGAGGAGAGATGGAGCCACGCAGGGACTGACTTCCGCGATGCTGGCACGGCTTCAGACTGGCCACAGGAAGCTCCTGCAGCCAATCCGGAGCCATGGATGCCTCTGGGCGACACGCCTTCCTTCCCGCTGAGCTGGCCGCGTATGGCCAAGAGCTGAGTGGGAGGAAGCGGTGGCATCGGTGGGGAGGCTGCCTCCGCCACCCAGGCTAGCGGCATGGGCTCTGTGCCCCACAGACCCCTAGCCAAGGCAGAGGACGACGACACTGCCGAAGACGAGGTGGCGCCGGCGCCTGTGGCGTGAGTGGCGACAGGGGGTCCTTTCAGGAGAGGGTGGGTCTGGCCCCCCACAAGGTCTGAAGGACAGTGGACCAGCCCCCTCCTGAAAAAACATGCTGACCCCTGCCTTATGGAGTGTGGAGGTAACGGCTGGGCTGGTGGAATCTTGGTGTGGGTGTGCTGGCCTCATTGTGTGTTTTGTTTGATGTCACAGAGCGTATAGGAGCAGTGTGACATCATTGTTGTGTGCTTGTCTGTTGCCTCTGTGCCCAGATGGTGTGTGGGTGACACTGCTGTCACCATCCCCGTGACTGCTTGTTCCAGGAACAAGTAGGTGTGTCTTCTTGTTTCTCCATGGGTTTTGTATTTTCTATTTTTGAGTTTCCCTTCCCTTATTTAATTTTAATCAATTAATTTTTAATATTTATAAAATACCCTCCATTTATTCCAGGGACATTCCAGGTGAAATATCCATATGCCCCCTTTCCTTTTAAAATTCCAGCGCAGTGTACCTGATCTATTAAGGCAGCAAGAAATTAAAACCATAGGGTTTAGTTCCTTCCTACCGTATATGAACAGCGCAGGGTTGTCAGTCAATCTGCAGGCATAGAGGGGCATCTATCTCGAGAACCACCATAAGAGGGTGGCGAAGCCTGATATTTGAATTGTGGAATCGGGGTCTCAGTTTGCTTGAGGTTTAGGTGCGCTTTGTGTAACAGTTAAATCATTCCTTGCTGATTCTAGAGCTTGATTCTAGAGCATGCTTAGTCTAATGGCAAATCCTGCCGCAATGTCAAGGAGAAATCACCATATTCTATATCCCCTTTGGAATTTTGTACATAAATGAGTTCAGAAAGGGTAAAGAAATGCACGTGATGTAATGTGGAAACCATCAATAATAAATGGATTTACTTGCGAAAATGTCTGCTTATTGAAGTAAATAAAATGAAGTACAGGTAGAAGCTAGATCCATTTTATGTGTGTGTGGTTCAAGGCACAGAGATGAAGGTTCTCTCTAAAATGTTTCAAAGTAAACGAGGCAGTTTAATGCTCTGGATTCCACAGAGATCTTTTTTTAAAAAAAATGATATTTATTACATTTTAAAGAGTTACAAAAAGAAAAAGTAAAAAAAAGACAGCATATTTAAGAAATACAAATCATCACAACACGATAATATCAAAACAAAAACAAAAAAAGAAAAAGAAAAAAGAGGGGAAAAAATACATCTTCCCATAACTTGTCTTTCATTTGCTTCTTTCCTTGACCTCCTCACACCTCCCTTTTTTTGTATTCTAGTTCAATTAACTATTTCAGCAAATCTTTTCCATCTTTTCCAGTTTTTGTCCTCTATTCTATCTTAATAAAATGTAACTTTACTTTCCCTCCTTCACCATTTAACAATCTATTTTTCCTTAATCCTTTATAGCATTTCTGCTAAAACCACATTATTTCATTCCAACATCCCGGATTCCGCAGAGATCTGAACAGCTGAGGTAGCTCTGAGAGACAAAACTCCCAGGCAATCTGGATGGAAGGGTGTAAGTTCTGAAATGGCAAGAAGTAGGTTATTCTGAAGTCTATACTGTTACTAGCAAGCAAAAACAAAACACGAAAGCTTCGTCTTCAACCCAGTGCTCGTGACAAATATAACAACCACATTCCAAACCAAACGTTATTGAAATGATTCATTTCGGTTCCTACAAAATGGCAATGCTTGGGATTGCCAACTGGCAAGAGGAGTCGGGGAATCAACTCTGCCTGGCTTGCTCTTGTGCAGCGCAATGTGTAGCCAGCAGCCGGCGATGGCTTATCTCCATGCCATCAAAAGCTTCACCTGCTGGTTTCTGCACATCTAGCTGCTGTTAAAAGTACAAGTTCAGTGGCTGGTTTGAAAGCTGGCAACTCCACTGCCACCCATCAATGCTTTTTGTACCGAAATCTGCATCTGTAAACCATTGATACGGTTACTGGGTCTTCTGGAAGCCTGTTGGTGTGAGCCCACTGTGACCTTAGATGCCCTTTCTCCATCTCCACCCAAGTAGTCTTGGTACTGGGGCTATTCCTGTTTCACATTTCAGGATCTCTGGAAGCCCCTGGGACACACGAGAATGTAAAGGCTGATCAACATTGTTGTTTATTTGCGTACTACTTCAATGTCTGAATTGGTTTACAAAATATAAAAGCCAAATACACAAAACCAGATTATTATTATTTTTTTATAAGATATTTATTAAAGTTTAAACATTACAGAGAAAAAAAGAAAAGAGAAACAAAAGAGAAATACAAGCAATAAACAATTACAAAACCTCAGAAACAAAAATAAATACAGTAATACAAAACATCAACAATACAAAAAAGGCAAAAAAGAAAAAAGAAAAACATTTTAAAAACCCAAAAAAGAACAAACAAAAATAAAAAGAACCCCGTATTTTCATATCCTTATCTTTCATTTGCTTATTTCCTCGACTTCCTCACACCTCCTTTTTTGTATTCTAGTTCAATTAATTATTCCAGCAAGTTCTTTCCCTCTGTCTCAAATTTAGTTCCATAATTTATCTTAACACAATTTAGCCTTAAATTTACCCCTTTACCCAATGTCAATCTGTTCATACTTAATTCTTTTTAGTATTTCTACTAAAGTCATGTAGCTTCTTTCCAGCATCCTTCTAACATTCATTAATTTTAGAATATTTCTGTAAATATACTTTAAATTTTTTCCAATCTTCTTCCACCGACTCTTCTCCCTGGTCTCGGATTCTGCCAGCCATTTCCGCCAATTCCATGTAATCCATCAGCTTCATCTGCCATTCTTCCCTGGTAGGTACACAAAACCAGATTAAAACCCGTGATTAAAATACGTAATAGAACAGTGTCAGAAACGGTGAGATGGATTGGGAAGGTAGGATATGATATTTATGAATTGCCCTTCCTCTTACTCACTTGAGCAAGATCAGCGTCTAGTTTAGCAGAGCTAAAAATATACCTTCCTTTGCAGCAATAACACCAAAACTTGGTACAAAGCTGTGTTAGCTTTCTATAATAATCCAGGATGCCTTGAGCAGACTGGATCTCCCCTTTCTTTTATCCCTCTAAACAAAATAACACTAAAATCTGTAATGTAAGAATATAAAAGTATTATTTACTTACATAAAGTTGCAGACTTGATTCAGGCAGAAAATAGCAGTGAAGCAAGTTGGGTAAAATCTCCTTCTAGATTGCAAAATACACGGTTTAGTAGATCAAAGATGGCACCTGGACTCAGGAGCGCACCGACTCTGGCTCCTGTCCCTATGGCTGAATGACGAGAAAGAAATGGTTCCTCAGGTGGGAGGATGTAGTAAGGATTATCTTCCTGTTGTTGCTCTTCTTGCCTGGAGAAGCAGAGGATGTGATCTCACAGAGTACCCTCTAGGAATTTACAGGGAAATCCATGTGTCTTAACCCTTTGCTCACCTAGCAAACATAGAATTTAATATATTTGACTGCAGCAGTATTTCCCCACAATAAAAGCAGTACAACGTTAACTAAAATAACGTTGGCCAGATCCTGGTCAAGGGATCAGGTGCAACGGTTGTGGAAATAGGTGCATCTTCAAGAGGTGGCAGAATGCCAGTGGTTATGGTGTTTCTTCAGTTTCAACAAAGAGGGCATTCTACATGATCACAAGTCAATAGTTATTGGTCACAGCCAAGGCTAATTGGGTTATGTTCACTGATTTTACAGGGCAATAGAGGAGAAGCTGGCCTTTCAGGTAACCTGGTCCTGAGTAGTTTAGGGTTCTTGTCTGCTGCTACTTTCATTGCTCAAGCAGAACATAGCCAAAAAAGAAGGATGCATTCAACAAGTCCTGCTGATGTATTCCATTGCATGCTTTAGTATTTATCGCCGAAAGCTTCCTTCTAGAGAGATAGGTGCCAAGTCATTTTTAGTTGCATACTGACGATGCAATCTGACAACCCTGAAGTAATTGTAGACTCCTGTGATTATATTGTCACTACTTGGAAGACTCTAAATAATCCTGACACATTTTTTTTTTCAACTGATTGATTGCTAGCAATGATGTAATTTGTTCTAGCGGCAAGTCAGATTATTAAGAAACTGTCTCATCTGTTGTGTGGTTAATAGAGTATTGGAAGATTGTTGTAAATAGCTGCTCTGCTATGTCTAAATTATAAGGGAACATCCCAGAAAGGGCAAAATGGGCATAAGTTCATGTTCACCTGTTGGAATTCCCTACTCACGTTGTAGTTCTGGTTGAAATTCAGGGATCTGGAGAAAAGGTAAGCCAACAAATGAACAATCAAAAGGTTCGTTAGGAGTTTTTGCTTAATTTCCTGTAATTCCAAATTTTCATCAAAACTCAGTTGACAACAAATCTCTCTGATTGCCTGGTGGTTCCATCATCGCTATTGTTGCTCTTTCTCCCACAATACAACATTGCACACTAAAAACCTCCCTAAACAGGGCTGCCTTCAGATATCTTGTAAAAGTCAGATAGTTGTTTATTTCCTTGACATCTGGTGGGAGGACGTTCTACAGGGCAGGCGCCACTACCAAGAAAGCCCTCTGCCTGTTTCCCTGTAACCTCAGCTCTCACAATAAAGGAACCACCAGAAGGCCCTTGGAGCTGGACCTCAGTGTCCGGGCTGAACGATGGAGGTAGAGATGCTCCTTCAGGTACACAGGGCCAAAGCCATTTAGGGCTTTAAAGGCCAGCACCAGCACTTTGAGTTGTACTCGGAAATGTACTGGGAGCTAGGGAAGATCCTTTAGGACTGGTGTTATATGGTCCCTAGCTGCCGCATTATGCATTGGTTCTCATTTCTGAGTCACTTTCAAATATTGGTGGACTCCAACCATAGCTGTCAACCATCCCTTATTTGGTGGAAAACTCCCTTATCCCAGCGCCGTTTCCCACTGCTGTCCCTTATTGATGATGTTCCTTAAATTTCCCGGGTTTTAAAGGAAGCAGCTCCTCTCCCTTCCTCCCTCCCTGCCGGCCAGGGAGGAGGGAGGCTCCAACTGTGTTGCTTGGCTGCGTTGCTCACCCAATAAGGAGTCTAAGAATGACTGGGGGTGGAGCTTGCATGCCTTGTGCCGATCAAATCGTCTGCATTGCCTGGGGACTCGCCTTTGCTCAGCGCTTCCCAGCGGAGAGGTGATGGTGGTTTTCCTCGCTGCATCCCCTTTGACGGGTTGCTGCGCTGTGGGAACCACCACTTGAGGCTTCGTTTGGCTGCTGGCTGGGCTTTCTGCCTTTGGCTCAGAGGGGCTCAGAAGTTGAACATACCTGTGCTTGGAATCGGATGGATGCGTCATCGACGGCCCACTCACCCTTGCCGGGGAAAAGGTCTGTCTGGAGAGAGGTCACATGGTGGGGGAAAAGGAAAGGAGCTGGTTGAGTACAATGGCGGGTGGCAATCTCGTAGGAGGGGCTTTTGGATTTGCTTTGGAGGCTCCTTTGATTGTTGGGGGAAAGGAAAGGAGCTGGTTGACTAAAATCCCTTATTTTGGCTGCTGATCCCTTATTTTCGAGGCTGCTGGTCCCTTATTTTCAAATCTGTAAGTTGACAGCTATGACTCCAACCATCCCTATAGCCACTATGGCCAACAGTCAGGGGTAGGTGGTGTTGTAAGTCCTCCATTCCTGCTTTAGAACTGCAGAACATTATATATACATATATCTGCCCAAATGTGACCATTGACTGGAATTTCACCAAGCCTGGAGTGTCAGAACTGCAGCAGCAGAAGGCGAAGCTGAGAGTGGTTGGGAGCAGGTGTCTGGCGGTACTAGCCGCTCTTGGAGCTCATTCCCTGACATTTAGGAACATCATGGCTGCACATTTCTGTGCCAAGAACTGGGGGCTGCTATAGCATGTGCCCACCCCCTTCCTTCGCCGGGACATTTGTTAGCCCACCCACCTAGCGAAGAAAATGGGAACACGGCACATTAAGAGGGCGGGTTTGTTGTTTTGTTGTGGCTGCTAGACAGCAGGTTTGTTTTGCAGCAGAACATGGATTCGTGGAGGGATAGAATTGTCTCGAAAAGGAAAAGAAGAAGAAGAAGAAGAAAAACCCTTTATGGCCGCATCACGCTTGGAAGCATTACAGGGCAAACAGGTGGGATGAAAAATGTCGAGGCAGATGAAGGAGAAAAATTTCAAAGCTCCCAGATAAAGATGTGCAGATTTAAAAGATGGACAGCATTCGCACAAAACCTGGCAAGCGGCGGGTGCTTTCACAAGGCAGTCTAAGAACGCCTTTATGCTCCTGCGGTATTGCAGCATTTAACACAGGAAAGCGGTCCTTTTTAATTTAAATGAGACCCTAAGAAAATACCCCACTCTTGAGACATTCTATACTTTACTTTCAGGTTTAATGAATTGGGGGATTCTCCTCCCGTGCTTCTGAGGTGATGGAGTCTTAGAGATTAACATTCTCAGTTATGAAACACCATTTTTGCCATAGATAAAAAAAAAAAAACTTGCATCCACACTCCCCCCCTAGGAAGATAGAAAGGTGTCTTATACTGAGTCAGACTATCTAGCTTTGTAATGTCTCCCCTAGGTGGTGATGGACTCCAGTTCCCATCAGCCCCAGCCACTGTGGCCTATGGTCAAGGACGGGGGAAGCTGTACCTCTGCGCAGGAAATAGTGTTCTCCTAGCAAAAGGGACACGGGTGGCGCTGTGGGTTAAACCACAGAGCCTAGGACTTGCTGATCAGAAGGTTGGCGGTTCAAATCCCCGTGACGGGGTGAGCTCCCGTTGTTTGGTCCCTGCTCCTGCCAACCTAGCAGTTCGAAAGCACGTCAAAGTGCAAGTAGATAAATAGGTACCAATCCGGCGGGAAGGTAAACGGCGTTTCCGTGCGCTGCCCTGGTTCACCAGAAGAGGCTTAGTCATGCTGGCCACATGACCCTGAAGCTGTACGCTGGCTCCCTTGGCCAGTAAAGCGAGATGAGCGCCGCAACCCCAGAGTTGGTCACGACTGGACCTAATGGTCAGGGGTACCTTTACCTTTACCTTAGCAACCCTTAACATGCCACAATTCGCAGGATTCTTTAGGGGAAGCCCTGCCTGTTAAAGTGATATGATAGTGCTTTCAATTTATAGCACAGATGGGACCACTGCAGTGATGTCCTCTGGAGGAAGGGCCATGTCACGCACCCCAGTGTCCATCATTTTAACAAAAGACGGGAAGACCAGCTAATTTTCTGCCAGGCATTTGTTGAACCTGAGTTGCTTTCCTAGGTTCAGCACAGCTTCAAACACTTCATCGCAACCAGTTAAACAGCATCGCCATGAATCTTGTGGTCCACCTGAGATCCAGGCTGTAGCTGTAGGTCCTGCTTCTCAAGCACCTATGTTAGCACTCCACCCTTGCCTAGTGTAAAGGTAAAGGTAAAGGGACCCCTGACTATTAGGTCCAGTCGTGACCAACTCTGGGGTTGTGGCGCTCATCTCACTTTATTGGCCGAGGGAGCCGGCGTACAGCTTCCGGGTCATGTGGCCAGCATGACTAAGCTGCTTCTGGCGAACCGGAGTAGTGCACGTAAATGCTGTTTACCTTCCTGCCGGAGCGGTACCTGTTTATCTACTTGCACTTTGACATGCTTTCGAACTGCTAGGTTGGCAGGAACAGGGACCGAACAATGGGAGCTCACCCCATCGTGGGGATTTGAACCGCCGACCTTCTGATCGGCAAGTCCTAGGCTCTGTGGTTTAACCCACAGCGCCACCCGCATCCCTCTTGCCTAGTGTAGTAATGGGTAATAACAAGAGTTAAGGATTGTCTCTGGTAATTTTGGCCTGGAGCAAAGCCCTTTCTTTTCCCTATGCAGTTGTATAAATAGATTCTGGTTCTGGGCCTAAAAAGTGAGTAAGCCTGCTTCATATTAAAGAAGAACTTAACAACTAAGCTGCCTTCTTCCTCATGGTCTCTCGGCCAAGGAGAGATGGCATGGCTGGGGCAGGTGTTGCAGGTGATTGTGGTCCTCTCATTTCCAGTTTTGAGCCCCTTTCTTCAGCCCCTTCTGTTTCTTACATCCCATCTCAAGCCTTCTCCTCATGCCCCTAACTGTGCTTATGAGGGTCTACCCATGAAGAGGCCACAGAACACTGGCTGCCTCTCCCCACAAAGGAGCTTCTAACCAAGATGTAGGTTGGCGTATGGACTCCTGTCTGCAGTTCAGCTGGTATGTGGCAGTTGGGACCTGCACTCATCTGGGGTCAACCCCCACTTTGAGCAGCAGTTGGGGACATCTGCTGTGGCTTAATGGCGGACCCTCCAGGTGTCTCTATTTTCCAGGGACAGTCACAATTTAGAGAAGCCAACCCCGTTTCTGATTTGATCCCTGAATGTCCCGCTTTTCCACAGGGCGCCCCTATTTTCATCGGAGAAACGCTAGACAGTATGGAGTTATATAACCCCCGAGCCAAGGAGATAAGTACCTATACAACCTTTAGAAGACATCTGAAGGCAGCCCTGTATAGTTTTATTATGCTTTTATGTATGTTGGAAGGTGCCCAGAGTGGCTGGGGCAACCATGTCAGATGGTATTATGATTATGATTATGATTGTTGTTGTTGTTACTGTTACGGAATAGGATGTATCATTTTCAAGGCGCTAAATATACAGTGGTACCTCGGGTTACATACGCTTCAGGTTACATAAGCTTCAGGTTACAGTCTCCGCTAACACAGAAATAGTGCTTTAGGTTAAGAACTTTGCTTCAGGATGAGAACAGAAATTGTGCTTCAGCAGCAGGAGGCCCCATTAGCTAAAGTGGTGCTTCAAATTAAGAATAGTTTCAGGTTAAGTACGGACCTCCAGAACGAATTAAGTACTTAACTCGAGGTTAAGAAGGAAGAGAGCTCTGCTCATACGCTTTTTAGAGGTACCATTTTACTATTCCTTAGGCCTAGGCAACTCAGTTTCAGGATAACAAGAGGATCTCGCTTTGTTCCATCTCCAGTTGACAGGTGGAGAGCTGGGGCTAACAGCTGTCCGTCATACTCAGAGATGACATTTATCCATGAATGCTCATCATTCAGGCATTAGCACATTGGCCTTGGGAGCCATTCTCCAGGTCTTCACTTACAGGTGGGAACTTGCTTCATATTTTGATGGCATTCAAACAACACCGGAACAATCTGTGATGCCTGGCCCAAAGGGAGTTAGCGTGGCTTTCTGAAAATGTCATTTCTTGGTTCACAAAAACCTGTACACTGTCATGGATGGGAAATGTAGGCTTCAACCTTCTTGGTGCTACAATTACAGCCCTTAGAAAAAAACACACACGGCAGCGGCAGAAATGGAGACTGCTAAGTATTCAGTTAGAAGGCTAATCAAAAGTTTTCCCATTCTAAATAACTTGTGAACCACATAGCTCTGTTGTCTCTTGTGTTTGACGGGCTACCTGCGCTGCAGTCAGGCTACAATTTCTATGAGGGGGAATCAAATCATCAGCTAAAATCATCCAGTCCTGATTGTCAGGCTCTTGAGAACGATGGTTTAGGAAGGCAACGGATAGAAAGCTGTCTTGCATCGAGCCACTCACCCTGATTATTGAGTTGTTGTATTTTAAATGCATTATACACTGTCTCTTGAACATTGGTTGGCAAGATGGTAGGAAGGTGCCTTATACTGAACTAGGGCTTGGGCAATATCTGGGTGTCAACATTGCGATGTATCGCCAGCTAAACATTGTGATATACTGACCTATTACAATGTATGAAACAAGGATGGAGCTCTGTAGAGGTATTGACCAGCTTCACGGTTTTCCCCACATTGTGATTTTTTTTGCCTAGCATGCTCATACACACATCAAGATTTGTGATATATTGCCAGGTCAAAAATCGTGAAACCGATATCACAATATAGACTTCAAACTGCTTCTGGACGATATATTGCTATATTGCCCAGCCCTATGGTGCTGGAGGAGACTCTTGAGAGTCCCATGGACTGCAAGAAGATCAAACCTATCCATTCTGAAGGAAATCAGCCCTGAGTGCTCACTGGAAGGACAGATCCTGAAGCTGAGGCTCCAATACTTTGGCCACCTCATGAGAAGAGAAGACTCCCTGGAAAAGACCCTGATGTTGGGAAAGATTGAGGGCACAAGGAGAAGCGGACGAAAGAGGACGAGATGGTTGGCTAGTGTTCTCGAAGCTACCAGCATGAGTTTGACCAAACTGCGGGAGGCAGTGGAAGACAGAAGTGCCTGGCGTGCTCTGGTCCATGGGGTCACCAAGAGTCGGACACAACTAAACAACAACAACACACTGAACCAGACTAATGGTGAATCTAGTTCAATATTATCTGCCCCAGCTCGCTGTGCCGTTCTCGGTTTCAGAATGGGGTCTTCCCCACTTCTGCCAAGTGATTCCAGGTACTGGACCTTGGACCTTTTTTGGAAGGTGAACCATGGGTCTGTACTGCTGAGCCGCAGGCCTTCCCAATGCAATAGGTATTGTATAAATATTTTAATAAAAATAATATATATTTGCATTAACCTCGCTCCCTCTGTGGTGCTGACAGCTGGGTAGCTTTCTGTGATGCCCCAAATCTGGGGTGAAATGCAGATGCTAATAACATTTGCATGAAATCCAAAGGAAGGAAGGCCTTATTGTAGGTGGGGAGATCTTTGTACCCACCACGGACCCTATGATCAGCAGGTGAGGCCTTGTTGCTGTTGCTGGGGGCTGCCTAGGTTGGTGTGAACCCATGGCAGGGCCTTTTCAGTGGTAGCTTGAGGGATGCCCAACCTATTGAGGTGTGCCGGTGTGCCTCCTTAACTGAGGAGAAACCTTAAAGCTTTCCTGTTTACCCAGGCATTTGATGGCTGAAAGACACTGTTCCTAGCAACCCTGAGATCACTGGTTGAGAGAATGGGTTTTTGTTCCGTTTTGTTTAGAACGCATATAGGGGCCACCCACTGCCTCCCATCCTAACCTACCTCACAGGGTTGTTGTAAGGATAAAACAGGGCAGAGGAGGACCACAGATGCCACCGTGAGCTTCTTGGAGGAAAGGTGAGATAGAAATGCAATAAATACATACATAAACAATCAAACAAACATATAGAATGCATACATATTTAAAATGAATGTGTTTGCTGCCCGGGGCTCCTTTGGGAGGAATACTATGAATAATAATAAACGATCAGTGCCAGATTTACGTATAAGCTAAACAAGCTATAGCTTAGGTCCTCACTCTCTTAAAAAGGTAAAGGTACCTCTGCCCGTACGGGCCAGTCTTGACAGACTCTAGGGTTGTGCGCTCATCTCACTCTGTAGGCCGGGAGCCAGCGCTGTCCGCAGACACTTCCGGGTCACGTGGCCAGCGTGACAAGCTGCATCTGGCGAGCCAGCGCAGCACACGGAACGCCGTTTACCGTCCTGCTGGTAAGCAGTCCCTATTTATCTACTTGCACCCGGGGGTGCTTTCGAACTGCTAGGTTGGCAGGCGCTGGGACCAAATGACGGGAGCGCACCCCGCCGCGGGGATTCGAACCGCCGACCATGTGATCGGCAAGTCCTAGGCGCTGAGGTTTTACCCACAGCGCCACCCGCGTCCCTTCCCTCACTCTCTTGGGCCCCCCCCAAAAAAAATTAAAGGAAAAACCTACATACAGGAAACAGTGTTTTGTGTTGTGTAGGCTCTTGCGATATATGACAATGTATGAAACACCTTGAAGAACAAATTGCTAAAGTTAGAACAAGTCACAACTAAAGCATGTATTTAAATCCACACGGACCAGAAAATTAGTAAGAGAGGCAACGGGACATTTAAGAACAAAGGAGTAAAAGTGGAATTGAAGGAAGACGGAGAAACCAACACATTGCTTGGGTTTCTTGGGCAGCCCAGCTCCCTTTAATTGGCAAGGCCCATGCGAAGATTCCCACCTCCAGTCTGCTGCCCTGCCAAAAGGCACAACTCCCTTAACGTCTTTCTTCCTTTCCTTTCCTTTCCTTTCTAAAAAGCATCTTAGGGAAATTTGTAGCTTTTGCATTAAGCCGATCATTAATAAATTGGACTGTAACAGACTCCAGCTGCAAGCCTGCTGAATAAGCCGGATGCAACGTTCAGGTAATTGGCAAACGAGCCACCTGTCGCCTTTCTTCGCGGCACCAGAAGCTTGAATTGCTTCTACCTGGGGTGCGATTCTACTCAAGGAGAAAATGGGGTTCTTTTAATTAAATTAGCCTTTCCTTCCACATCATCCTCGGCTTTTCTACTCCCTTTCTCTTTTCAGGAGGCGGAATGATTCGCTGGGATTTACAGACACAATGGCGGCAGCTTGTCATGCTGCAATACACCCTGATTAATACGCCTGCGTTGCTTGGGGGAAAGATTTATTTGCAACCAGAGTTCTGAAACTGCCTTGGCTATATGCTCCCCCCCCTTCTAGATGTGCGTCTTAATTGTAGTCACAAGATATTCTCCCGCATCGACTTCCTCCGGCGGAGAGCAATGTCCCTCCTCCAGTCCTGAGGGGTTTGTCATCGGAGCTGGTAAATATGAAAAGCAACGTTCATTTTCTGGCAGTGAGAACCATGACTGGGTGCTCAGCACACTGGTTGGCAAGGCAGTGGGGGTGCTCTGGATGGGGCATGAAGGATGGCCCTGCTCCGTCTTGAAATTGTGCACCCCCTACATGTGAGTAAAGCATAAATAAGTTTACCCTGCTACTCAGAACCACAGGGTCATGGGGCCTGAACCAAAATTACCCCCAGGACACAGCACAGGTCTCAGTTATCCGGCCTCTGAGCTACCTGAAGCCAGCCCTGTATAGGGATTCCCTCCCCCCTTAGTGTTTAATTATGTTTTTATATATGTTGGAAGCCATCCAGAGAGGCTGGGGCAACCTGGTCAGATGGGCGGGGTATAAATAGTATAATTATTATTACGGAATGAGGCGTTCCTATTTTCATCAGAGATATGTTGGAGGGGATGCACAACCATTAGGGAACAAAAGGAAAGGATATTCAGAAAGAAGAATTACAGTGGTACCTCGGGTTAAGAACTTAATTCGTTCGGGAGGTCCGTTCTTAACCTGAAACTGTTCTTAACCTGAGGTACCACTTTAGCTAATGGGGCCTCCCGCTGCTGCCGCACGATTTCTGTTCTCATCCCGAAGCAAAGTTCTTAACCCAAGGTACTATTTCTGGGTTAGCGGAGTCTGTAACCTGAAGTGTCTGTAACCTGAAACGTCTGTAACCCGGGGTATCACTGTATAAGGTATTCTATATTCAGGTAGGTAGCTGCGTTGGTCTGATGCAGTTGAAATAAAAAATTTAAAAATAGTCCAGTAGCACCTTACAGACCAACTAAGTTTGTTCTGGGCATCAGCTTCCGTGTGCATGCACACTTCTTCAGATACACTGAAACCGAAGTCACCAGACCCTTATATATAGTGGGAGGGTGGGGTGGGGGTTTTCTCAGGAGGGTAGTAGGAGATGGGTGGTTGACTCAATGGGTATAGTAAACCTGTTAACAACTGCAATTTGTCCTACAGGAAAAAGCAACGAATAGTATGCAGATGACCAAAAATAGCTTTAGCATGTGTAATGAGACAAGGATCCAATATCTCTATTTAGACCAGGTCTCTCCACAGTTTTCAGTTTAGTGTTCTCCTACTGGCTTCTCTTAGAGGGACGCGGGTGGCGCTGTGGGTTAAACCACAGAGCCTAGGGCTTGCCGATCAGAAGGTCGGTGGTTTGAATCCCCGTGATGGGGTGAGCTCCTGTTGGTTGGTCCCTGCTCCTGCCCACCTAGCAGTTCGAAAGCACGTCAAAGTGCAAGTAGATCAATAGGTACTGCTCCAATGGGAAGGTAAACGGCGTTTCCATGCGCTGCTCTGGTTCGCCAGAAGCGGCTTAGTCATGCTGGCCACATGACCTGGAAGCTGTATGCCGGCTCCCTCAGCCAGTAAAGCGAGATGAGCGCCGCAACCCCAGAGTCGGCCACGACTGGACCTAATGGTCAGGGGTCCCTTTACCTTTACCTTTACTGGCTTCTCTGGATAAATGGACATAAATCTGACATCAGGAATCACAAGACAGAGAAGCCAGTAGGAGAACATTTCAATTTCCCAGGACATTCAATACAGGATCTCAAAGCAGCTGTCTTATTACAAAAGAATTTCAGAAATAGACTTGAAAGAGAAGTTGCTGAATTACAACTTATTACTCAGCTGAAAAAGGGACATGGGTGGCGGTGTGGGGTACACCACAGAGCCTAGGACTTGCTGATCAGAAGGTCAGCGGTTCGAATCCCCGCGATGGGGTGAGCTCCTGTTGCTTGGTCCCAGCTCCTGCCAACCTAGCAGTTCAAAAGCACGTCAAACTGCAAGTAGATAAATAGGTACTGCTCTGGTGGGAAGGTAAATGGCGTTTCCGTGCGCTGCTCTGGTTTCGGTGTTCCGTTGCACCAGAAGCGGCTTAGTCATGCTGGCCACATGACTGGAAAAACTGTCTGTGGACAAACGCCAGCTCCCTCGGCCTGTAAAGCAAGATGAGCGCTGCAACCCCAGTGTCATCTGCAACTAGACTTAACTGTCAGGGGTCCTTTTACCTTTACCTTTAGAGTAAGGTTACCAGATTATTATTTTTCAATGAATCCGGGGACACTTTTCAACTTCCTACTAAATAGATGGATTTTGTGAGGGGACTGATTGGCAAATCTGGGGGCTGTCACCAGAAAACGGGGACATCTGATAACCTTGACCTATTGGTCTAACTGAAGGCAGCTTTCAAGGAACAGGCACACATTATCTGCCACCCAACCCTATGCAAAGCATATAACAAATCTAATCCTCCCTTCTGCTGCCCGCTGTAACTTTGTAGAAAGCCTTCTACCTTTTCCCCAGAGTCTTCGCTGACAGCTGGCAGATGCAGAAATAAGGAAAGAACTCCCCACCCCCCCGCCACCCCAGTTGATCACAAAGTCAGAGCTGGAATAGACATACCAAAGTGCTGATAAAACCATAGAAAGTTTCTGCATTTTGCTGCCACATGGTGGAAGAATGGGGAATTTTCTTTCTCTCGTAAAAGATGTCAACAGCTCCCTTAACCAAGAATATACATATAGCAATAATAGGCGTTTGGGGATAGGTGTTGTTTATGGGTGCGCCATCTTTAAAGCCTCAAAAAGGGGGGCTGCAAAGACTGGTTTATAAATTGATTACGGTATTGATTATAATGTTTGGTAAATTAGCCCTTCTCTCTTTATAAACCCTGTTAGTCAAAAGGGCATACTTCTTCCTGGATGGCATGCTCTAAAAACAAAACAAAGCCCTGTTTGTTTTCATATGCATATATATGCAGATTTTGTAAATTGGTTATTAGGAGCAATTGACTAAGGTTTCAGTTGCATGCTCCCTTAAAAGGTAAAGGGACCCCTGACCATTAGGTCCAGTCGTGACCGACTCTGGGGTTGTGGCGCTCATCTCACTTTATTGGCCGAGGGAGCCGACGTACAGCTTCTGGGTCATGTGGCCAGCATGACTAAGCCATTTCTGGCGAACCAGAGCAGCGCACAGAAATGCCGTTTACCTTCCCGCCGGAGCGGTACCTATTTATCTACTTGCACTTTGGCGTGCTTTCGAACTGCTAGGTTGGCAGGAGCAGGGACCGAGCAACGGGAGCTCACTCCGTCGCGGGGATTCGAATCGCCGACCTTCTGATCGGCAAGTCCTAGGCTCTGTGGTTTAACCCACAGCGCCACCCAATTGCATGCTCCCTTACTTGGGATCAAGTTCTTTTGAGCTCGGTGATGATTACCCTAGAACCATAGAATTGTAGCATTGGAAGGGACCCTAAGGATCATCTAGTCTAACCCCCTGCAAAGAAGGAATATGCGGCTGTCCCATACAGGGATCGAACCTGCAGCCTTGGCATTTGCCTGCACCACGTTCTAGCCAACTGAGCTATCCAGTCCCTTCTGGCTAGATGTGACCAGCACAGCCCGATAAGAACCTGATCTCATGACAGCTTGCAGCTTACTGGAAGGTGGGGAAAAGATCTGGAGAAAAGCACAGCCTTGATAGCTTTTGTTTATTATGCCATTTTCAGGAGTGCAAGTAAAATGTTGTCACGCTCCTGTTTCACCAAGTGCTTCTGAAGAAGGTGCTTCAAACTGCTCTGTTCGAGTGTATCCCAAGCAGCCTATGAATAGAGGCTCTTGTTGCAGTGGTTGCTATTAGCAAGCCCTTGTTCTAAAGTGAATAGCACAGTAAATAATACTTGATGAGCTGTGAAACACACACAAAAGGGTAGGATCACCAGTTAAAATAGCCCCGAGCCATTTTTAATTGCCTATTGTCTTGTTGCTGTTTTTATTATCATCCTGAAAACTGTACCCTTTGATGCTGTGGGCCAGAGAACAGGAACACCATTATATTATTATTATTATTATTATTATTATTATTATTATTATCATTATCATCATCATCTGCTTTAAAAATCAGCCTACCTAAAAACAAGGCACTAAATAAAAGGCAGCAAAAAAGCAAAGCAAGTCTGCAACACATGTAGAATTGTAGAGTTGCAAGGGAACCCCCCCTGATTATCTAGTCCGACCCCCTGTGATGCAGGAATCCTGGCTTGAACCACCAACCTTGAAAGTGTGTGTGGGCAGCGGGTTGGGAAAAGAATCCATATTTTGATTTTACTTAAAATATGGCCCAGGTTATATTTGTGTATGTGTGCACTAACTTTTGAGACCACTTAAAAGTTCCCTGTCTGAACTGGGAGATCCATTAATGGCTCAGAATATGAGTTGGGCTCAACATGCGGTCGGCGCCTTTCCTCAGCCACGAACTCACCGAGACAGAATGGTAGGAGGAGGAATCCATCGAAGTTGGCCAAATAATAAAAGGCTCTCTCGATAGACAAAGCAACCAGGAGTCAAGGTGCCGCGAGACTCTCTGTTGGTTTTCCCGCAACACGGACTAAGACGGCTGTCCTTCTGGAAATGATGAATGGCTGACAAGCTCTGGGAGCAACAGGAGGGAGACGTGAATTGGCGCATAGGACACAGTGCTGGGCAGAAGGATGCTATACTCATCTTCTGTTCCCATCATCACTTTAAACAATGGCCTTTCAATGGGATGATTCCAACAGATTCCACATGGAAAACACTTATGTCCCTGTGGAGATGGCAGTACCAAATCGGTGGCGCGTGTCCTTCTGGCTTGCACTCTTTAGAAAGACTTGAGGAATGAGGTTATCACCCCTCTTTTATGGTCCATTCCGGGTCACCCAGCCACTGCCACCGTGTCCTTTCTCTTGGCAGATCAAGATGAGCAGGTGACAGCAAAGGTTGCAAGGTTTTTAGCTGGAGCAATCAGAATAAGATCCCCTACAGTGGTACATAGGGTTACATACGCTTCAGGTTACACACACTTCAGGTTACACACACTTCAGGTTACATACGCTTCAGGTTACAGACTCCGCTAACCCAGAAATAGTACCTCAGCTTAAGAACTTTGCTTCAGGATGAGAACAGAAATTGTGCACTGGCGGCATGGCAGTAGTGGAAGGCCCCATTAGCTAAAGTGGTGCTTCAGGTTAAGAACAGTTTCAGGTTAAGTACGGACCTCCGGAATGAATTAAGTACTTAAACTGAGGTACCACTGTGTTTGACTATTGATTCAAAACCCTAAAATGTATTTTATATAATTGACTTTTTATGTCTATTCTTTGTACAGTGGTAAAACCCACCCAGAACATCATCCAATCACACACCCACCAACCCCATTGCTGGATTGTCTACCACCTGTTTTCCAATGGGCACACTGTGGGGTAACGTAGACTCAACCTACGATGAGCTTTTATCTCTTGAATGAAACCAGTTCCCCTTGAAGCACTTTTCAGAGGCAAAGACATGTGTGATAGACAAGGGCGGATTTAGGTTTGATGAGACCCTAAGCTATTGAAGGTAATGGGGCCTTTTATACGTCCAGCTGTGCTTTGTCAACAACAAATTGCCGCTGTTTTTTGTGTTGAATATATGCTACATGGTAATTTATGCACCTAATAGGTATCTGAAGCCATTTGCACATGCAGAATATAGGCACCCTATATATAACGGTAAAGGGACTCATTAGGTCCAGTCGTGGCCGACTCTGGGGTTGCGGCACTCATCTCGCTTTATTGGCCGAGGGAGCCGGTGTACAGCTTCTGGGTCATGTGGCCAGCATGACTAAGCCGCTTCTGGCGAACCAGAGCAGTGCACGGAAACACCGTTTACCTTCCCACCGGAGTGGTACCTATTTATCTGCTTGCACTTTGACGTGCTTTTGAACTGCTAGGTTGGCAGGAGCAGGGACCGAGCAACGGGAGCTCACCCCGAAATGAGGAAATCAGTGATATTTTAGGCAGCAGACTGGCAGGCAGGACCCATTACTTACATCATAGGAGCCTACACAACACAAAACACTGTTGCTGTATGTAGGTTTTATTTTATTTGTTTTTTATCTTATATTTTGGAAATGTACATCCAGTGTTTTTTTTCCTTTAAATTTTTTTGGGCCCCCAAGAGAGTGAGGCCCTAAGCTATAGCTTGTTTAGCTTATATGTAAATCTGGCATTGGGGGTAACATAGACTCAACTTGTGACAAGCATTTATCTCTTGAATGAAACCAGCTTCCCAAGAAGCACTTTTCAGGGGCAAAGACATGTGTGATGGATCTAGACTGTGTGCACACTGCAGAGAAGAAACCAAGGACGCCATCTGCATCAATTCTAGAATAAAATGTTGCGTGTCGGCAGTCTAAGCGTCCCAAACATTAGAGATCGTGGAAGTCAGAAGTGATGGTTGCCTTACTCTGTTATCCACTGTATTGCAAGAAGCTGCAGACAAATTCCTCCCCAAGATGTTTCTCGTAGATCCTGCCTCCTCATTAGCAGACAACATCTGTTTCTTACCATAATTAGCTCACAGTTCAGTAGGTATCTTCAGTTTCTTACACCTGTACTTACAATCAACACAGAAATTTCAGAAGCATGCCTTGTCTCCTTCTGCCCCTACTTTTGCTATTATTTATTGAATTTATATTCAGCTGCCCTATACCCGGAGGTCTCAGGGCGGTTCACAGAAAAGATCAACATAAAAACCGCAATATATATCATCGGAATAGAAACAGCAATGAAACTAACATCACTTGTATTTTCCAGCTGTTTTTCCAACAAAGGGGAACTCAGCCTTATTCCAACACCCCTCCCTTTGTTTTGATTTAGGGGTGCTTGTTTATATATATAAAAAAGAATAAATAAATACATATCTGGATCTTGAAATTCAAACGCACTTCCAGTTTGCAAGTTAAAGCAAAAAAATATATACCCATTTCCCGAAAGACTGAAGAGGAATTCTTAATACGCTCAACCCAAGCCATCCTGAGTCGGGCCATAAATTTTTATTTCTTGCCACCTGCACGACGGTGCTGAAAGAAATGGGGGAAGTAGATTAGGGAGGGAGGGGGGAGCCGCGGGAAGAGAATCGCAGCTGGTCCTGCTGGGGAAGCATTATAGCTGGGCTCTTTGGACTGGAAGGGTGTGAGGTCTGGGGTCTTTTCCTGCCAGGTTTGTTCCAAGCGGGAGGGGATACATAATTACACCGTCTCGCTCAGCCATTAGTGTCAAGACTCATTAGGAAGCCCATCCACTCAGCGGCCATGACAGTAGGTACAGGCAAAGGCTCTCACACAGAAGGGGGAAAGCCAGCCAAAGACTCTCCAGGCAGTTTTTAGGTGGGAGCTGGTGGGAGGCAGCAATTGTGGAATTCCCGTCTGGATAATTAGAGCCAGCGGGGCATTGGATTGGCCCAGGCAGGGCTTTCATTCTCCCCCCTTGTTGTTTTAGTGGGATTGGCAGGTGCTGCTGTCTTCTGAGGGCAAGGTGATGCGCCTGTGTCATCGTTCAGAATGAGAAATGATCGTCAATTTGCCGCCATGCTCCTGGGGTGAGCCGAGCAGGCCGGCTCTGATTACGGCGGTTATTAGGGCCTTGTTAGCGCACAAGAGCAAGCTTGCTGGAGGCAGTTGGCTTTGGGGAGAGGGTGGGGTTTCTGCAGGAGCAGATTGCAAGCTGGAAATTTGGAACGGGGGAAGTTTATTAATGAAAGGAGCTTAAAACATTACATGCTCCCTAGGTAGGGATCCATTTATTACGTGGAGAACAGAAGCAAATGGACTAGAAGGATTATGCAGGGTGTAAAAAACGGCAGCTTATTAGTTTCCCTTAAAGAAAAATTGCAGCCGTTTGTTTTGGCGAAGTCTAATATTCAGGAAACAAATGCAAAGCATTTGAGTTTTGACACCCTGCTTATTGCTTATTATGTTAGCTTAGAAGATGCCTTAGTAGTTAGGAGAGGATTTATTCCAACCATTATATCACTTTGAAGATTTAGGGCTGGATTCACAAGTTACTGCAGTTGCCAGAAATTATCACCTTGGTTGTTCCCTTTTTCTGTCACTTTTTAGGTGGATAGAATCCATGCAGGATGTGGGACGAACACACAGCAGAATCTGAGCTTCTTATCTTCAGGGTATGTGGAATTTGTGGCCGAATTCTTCAAAACTTCCTGCCTTCCACCATCCATCCATGTGTCTAGACCTTACTGTTGTGTTCCACAATGCTTGTTGGCAATTAGATGTTTTGCTTGGGGTGAGGATTCATGTTATGCCTGATCCTGACCCCTTTGTTATGGCCTTGAGCACGTGCCATTCTTCTACTTCCTTCCCCACTATCAGTCGCTTTCGCTTTTCAATGTCTTTTCTTCTGTCTCTTACGGTTGCCAAAAGGTTGCTATTCTACAAAAGCTGAATTATTTGGGATCAGCTGCAGATTGAACAAATTGATTCATAAGAACTGGATTCATTTTCCTAACAGGGGTGCAGTCTGTAGTTGACTGATTAAAACCATTGATTAAAAATGTTCGTCATTGATTAAAAACAGGAGATGACTTTTACTAGTTGCCCCCCTCCCCATCTGCTGAAATCTGAAGCAGATTTCCATCATTGGGGGACACCAGGGGAGCATCCCACTTCTCTTTCCCTAAAGCCATGACCTTTTTTCATGTGCACATTTATTTAATGTTCAGTCTCTCTGTGTCTCTGTGTGTGAAGAGGAGGTGTCTCCATTGCTCATCCCAGGGGTGGGTAACCTGTGGCCCTTCTTAAGTTGTTAGACCGTATCTCCCATCAGCTCCAGACAAGATACCCAATGACCTAGGATGATGGGAGTTGTAGTTCAGCCACATCTGGAGCGCCAGAGTTTCCTCATCCCTGGTTTATCCAGTGCCCAGCATCACAGAAATAAATATGAAGGCCTCCTCTACCTTTGTTTTCTTTAAAGGTGTTTCTCTTCCCTCCCAATGGGAGGGAAATAACATTGATGACAGAAAGTGAGGAGGAATTAGAGAACCTTTTAATGAGGGTGAAAGAGGAGAGTGCAAAATATGGTTTGAAACTCAACATAAAAAAAAAAAAATGAAGATCATGGCCACTGGTCCCATCACCTCCTGGCAAATAGAAGGGGAAGAAATGGAGGCAGTGAGAGATTTTATTTTCTTGGGCTCTGTGATCACTGCAGATGGTGACAGCAGCCACGAAATTAAAAGATGCCTGCTTCTTGGGAGACAAGCAATGACAAACCTAGACAACATCTTAAAAAGCAGAGACATCACCTTGCCAACAAAGGTCCGTATAGTTAAAGCTATGGTTTTCCCAGTAGTGATGTATGGAAGTGAGAGCTGGATCATAAAGATGGCTGATCGCCGAAGAATTGATGCTTTTGAATTATGGTGCTGGAGGAGACTCTTGAGAGTCCCATGGACTGCAAGAAGATCAAACCTATCCATTCTGAAGGAAATCAGCCCTGAGTGCTCACCGGAAGGACAGATTGTGAAGCTGAGGCTCCAATACTTTGGCCACCTCATGAGAAGAGAAGACTCCCTGGAAAAGACCCTGATGTTGGGAAAGATGGAGGGCACAAGGAGAAGGGGACGACAGAGGACGAGATGGGTGGATAGTGTTCTCGAAGCTACCAGCATGAGTTTGACCAAACTGCGGGAGGCAGTGGAAGACAGGAGTGCCTGGCGTGCTCTGGTACATGGGATCACGAAGAGTCAGACACGACTAAACGACTAAACAACAGCAACAACAACAATTTATGTCAGTTCTGGGGCTGGTGCAAATTTATCAGGTTGCCCATGACTAATCCAAGCCTCCCCCAGCATGTTTCTGAACCCTCACAACATCCCCACTTTTTCGGGCCCTACCTACATTGGAAGTCTACTTTGATAAGATAAGACTAGGGCTGCGGGGTAATGAAACTTTGGATCTGCCTTTCTGAGGTCAGCGTTCTCTCTCTTTCACCCTTGAGAGGGAGATTGTATGTACCCTGTAACTACTGAGATGTCCTCTCAGGACCAGAGTTTTGCAGACTTCATCTGTTAACCAATCAATGAATTGAAAATAAGATGAATTAACTAAGGCTGCAATCCTATGCACGTTTACCTTGGAGAACTTACGTATAAACAGACCTGTGGTCCAAACTCCTTCCTAAGCTTGCAAGTTATATTGGACTGCAGTTTCCCATAATTGGAACCTACCACTGCTTTCATCCCTCCCACTGAGCCCAGAACAACGTGGAAGGGTTTCTTTTTAGCTCATTCTGTGAATGAAAGTGGCAGGACCCTCCTTGACCATGGATAATTTGGCCTGCATCCCACAATACAAGCTTTGGCCCTTTGTGGATGTTCAAGCCATTGGTGGGCCCTGAGGCAGGGGCTCAGGACAGGAAAGTATAATCATGAAGTTCATCCCAAATGAAAAAGACCTTCCTATGTAACCATCATCCTCTCAAATGGACACTCTCCCTGTTTCTGAGCACAGAAAATATCATCCATCAAATTGTCAGGCATTCATCCTACACTCGAGTAGGACCCTGGCAGAGACACATGCCAGACGGGCATGTTCTCTCCCTCCTGGTTGTTCGTTCGGGAGCTTCAAAAGCTTTCTTCTGCCCGAACATCACAGCGACCGATGCCAACCGACACCGGCACACTTAGAGATCCGCAGAGTCTTCGCAGTTTGTGTAACAGACGTCAGCAACTCAGCATTTTGGCTAATCTATGTTTATTTACATACAAACACACATGGAGTACTGCAACATGGGTCTCTCTCCCTCCGTCACTTCCCACTCTGTGGAGGCGAAACATACACCATCATGTGATAGACAACACTCCTATGACTCCTATCACGGAGCAGGAACACAAATCACTTTGAAGAAGTAGCAGAACGCAGCTGCCTATTAACAACAGCAGCAACAAAAATGGTTCCCCCTCTCCATCTTCTGGAATCAACCATGTCTGTGCCCAGGCATAAACCTGCAACCTCAGCAGTAATGAATTTATTACATTGCCTGGAACAAATCCCCTATCTATGAAATGAGAGTAACAGCTGCATCTATCTACAGCAGGGGTCAGCAAACCTTTTCAGCAGGGGGCCAGTCCACTGTCCCTCAGACCTTGTGGAGGGCCGGACTATATTCTGAAGGGAAAAAATGAACAGATTCCTATGCCCCACAAATAACCCAAAGATGCATTTTAAATAAAAGCACACATTCTACTCGTGTAAAAACACACTGATTCTTGGACTGTCCGCGGGCTGTATTGAGAAGGCCTTAGTTTGCCTACCCATGATCTACAGAAATAAACAAACCAACACAATTTTTTTTCTATTACTAATATAGGAGTTGCCCAATGCTAGTATCAATCAGTTAAGTTTCGCACCCCATAGCCACCTTTGACTGGACTTACCTGCCCAGGGGTCCTATTCAATAATAATATTTATACCCTGTCCATCAGAGTGGGTTGCCCCAGCCACTCTGGGCAGGTCCCAACATATATAAAAACATAATAAAACATTAAACAACTTCCCTATATAGGGCTTCCTTCAGATGATTCCTAAAGGCTGTATCCTCTTGGCTCGGGGGTCGCATAATTCCATACCCTTCAAAGAAAATAGGGACGTCCTAAGGAACAGTGGGACATTCTGGGATCAAATCAGAAACTGGGATGGCTTGTGTAAATCTTTCACTGTCCCTGGAAAATAGGGGCACTTGGAGGTTCTGAAAATGTGAACTGTCAAGCTGTTGGCTATGAGAAACTCATAAATAAACTCCACACCACTGTTATAACAACCAGCCAGTGGGAAAATAAATCTTTGACATTTGTGTAGAGGGCTTACCAGTGACCTTCTGCCCGTTTTCAGATAGGTTCCTCATGGCAATAATCACAGTCCAAGCTCTGGCTCAGGGATCTATGTAAGCCCTGGGAATGGGTGGGTAGGGATTTGTGAAATCATCCTATTTTTATTATTATTATTTGACGTGGCTGGCTTTTTCCTGGAAGTGGGTGGCACCCCACTCCAGCTGTAAAAAGCACAGGAGAAGCCACAGCCGTTGGCAGGAGCCAGGTAGAGCACATTCTGAGAAATATTGCATCAATGTGACACAAAGTCTGCCTGTTGTCTCCAAACTGAATCCCTGCTTAGCTCCTTCATTAAGCCAAGGGAGAGATGCCACTGGCCAGTTTCCTTCCAGGCTATGGGCCCTTAAACCGTTTCCCGTGTCCGTTCTAACTTAGAGAGCCAGTGCGGTGTAGTGGTTAAGAGCGGTAGACTCGTAATCTGGTGAACCGGGATTGATTCCCCGCTCCTCCACATGCAGCTGCTGGGTGACCTTGGGCTAGTCACACTTCTCTGAAGTCTCTCAGCCCCACTCACCTCACAGAGTGTTTGTTGTGGGGGAGGAAGGGAAAGGAGAATGTTAGCCGCTTTGAGACTCCTTCGGGTAGTGATAAAGCGGGATATCAAATCCAATCTCTTCTTCTTCTAACTCTGATAAACTCAAGGCAGGATTTATTGGGGGTTTTTTTTATCATTTAAAATCCCAGCG